TCTGATAATTTTTTGTAATTACATTAGTAAAGTGGATATCGTTCTTTCAAGTTTAATTTAGAAAGCACCATGTTATCAGCACGTAATAAACCTCATGTATCTGTCCTCTTTCTTTTACTATCATGTCTAGAGATTCCTATTAAAAGCTTTTAAAAATATTCCTCTGCTCAGTTTAATAGGATTTTTACAATATCATTACGCATCCTAATTGGGTGATTAGGGTTTTCACACCAATTATAGAAACACAGGGTGACTAACTGGAACTACAGCAAGTTGCGTAATAAAAATGAGATCACACAGAGCGATGAAGCCCAGAGCAGAGTACCGGGCATAGGGCATCACAGCCCAGAACCAGAGGATAAGCCTGCTGAGAGGAGGAGGATTCTCCAGAATACACGGAGAAAAGTGTTTTACACCATCCTTTCCTCTCTTTTTTTCAATTTGGAGGGACAGGTCTTTTCTGCACCCTTCTATTGCCAGTTTCAGGTCAGTAGCTTTGGCCAACCATTGCATTTTGCACTGGGTGAAAGGACTGGCTCAGAACCAGGACAGTCCTGAAGACTCAACTTCCATTTCCCCATGGCTTTGCACAGAAACCCAGGTGTGTTTTATCATAAACGTGATTTCTTTTTTTATTATATTTCTCGGATGGGAATGGCAGTTACAAGTCGATTCGAACAACGTGCGGCAGAAAAAATCAAGTTCAGCGCAACTGAAAGGATTACTTTGTCTTAAAAGGTGAGAAGAGATTGGGGTCACAGAATCATAGAATTGCTCAGGTTGGAAAAGACCTTCAAGATCATCAAGTCCAATCTCAACCTAACCATACTTACCCTAACTGATGAAGATACAGCAGATGATAAGGTTTTTGTGTTTTGCAGTTGTTCCTGTCTCTAGGCTCCGGGTTCTGCTCTGGCTTTGAAGGCTTTCCCACCAGTTAGCATTATTCTACCATGTTCAGGCTAAAGTTAACTCTGCACAGCAAAAGGGATCATCTCTGCCTCTTGCACAGATAGCTTCAGACAGGAGGAGAGAGATCATCCATGAGGTACAGCCCAGTGGCACAGCTGAGAGCACGAAGTCTGAAATCCATTGTTCATAAAGGTTGCACCAGCAACTGGCATCCTAAAATGAGGCAAAGGGCAGAGCTTACTCTGCTGGCTCTGCTCAAATGAAGCACTGCAGCTCTTCCCCAGGCTGTTGCAACAGGGACAGTCCTGCCACAAAACATGTTTTGTTAAAATAAGAGATTCAGTGCTTCTTGTGAATAAAAATGATGAGAAAACAGTGACAAAGGGAATTGCTGTTTTTAAGGAGAAAACACACTGAACCAACCATCCACAGAATCCTTAGAGTTGGAACGGGCCTATAAAGGTCATACAGAACAACTGCCCTGCAATGAACCAGCCAGCCACAGGGACATTCCCCCTTGCATCCCTGATTCACAACTCCATTAACGAAGTCACAGGGGACACAGGGTCCTTTTAATAGCCCCTGCAGTGAAGAACACCAGATGCCCTTCAGTTTGTACACTTCATTTCTGAGCCTGATATTTCTTCAGTAGTCTCTGGTGTGCAGTACTGTCAAAGGCTTTTTGAAAACCCAGTCAAGTAGATTGGTTTTAATCAAGGTGCTCGCTGACGCCTTTCTCAGTCTGCAGCAGGTCAGGCAGGCAGGATTTCCCATTGGGAACTCTTCCACACCTATCTCCTTCGTCCATTGCTTCACTAATCTGAGTTCATTCTCTTGTGATTGCGACTGGGGAATTCAAGAAAAACATACAGGAAGACACCGAAGAGAACATTGTTACATTTGAAATGCAATAGGTGAAACTGTCACCTTGCAGATTCTCACATCTTGTAAAGCTGCAAGCCCCGGCTACCAGAGCTGAGGACTTCAGAGGTCATCCAGTTATAAGGAGTTAAGAACTGCCACAACGATAAATAGGAAAAAGTAATGAGAGCTTGATAGCCTTTTCTTCTTGAGGGCAAAAGCGATGTGTGTGTGTCATACCTAACTGCTGCTTGGGAAATAAGTAACGAGGACTGCTCTGAGAACGCCGAGTGCTCGGTGCTGCTCCAAAGCAGGTGACAGCAAGGGTACATGAAAGGTCGCCCTGGAGGTGCAGGTCAGAGCTGCAGTTAAGCTCAGGAACTGTGACAGAAGCAGCGCTACGAAAATGCACCTCAACCTGAGATAATTAAACATTTCCTGACCACTTCTGCTATGCTGTGACAGCTCTCTACACAAAGTGAACTGAAGGTCAAAATTAAAAAAAGAAAACAAATCTCTGGACCTGCTGCCAATGGCTTTATCTTCATCCTGCATCTAACTTTATCATGTTAACACCCACACAGATGCAAGCTTACATGGTTCTCAAAGTGACTTTGCTTTCTCCATTACCCATTTATCTGCCAAGCAAGCACTTGACTCAGAGTGACAGCTCAAAAACTCTGCCCTCTATTACTTTTTCTTGTTGAGTAGCACTTGCCATACCAGCAAGAGAAAATTCACTCCAACATTTGATTAGCAATTTATACCAGTAGTCCAGACGTTCCAGCAGAAGACAAATTGAAACTGCTGAAACCTGTTGGCAGATTTCTCTAGGTCTGGACTTACCTTCTGCCCCTCCTGTTTTGGTCAAGCTCACATAAGACACCACTAAACATTTTCTTTGTGAAGTATGTAAGCTAGGTCAGGAATGCTCTGCATTTTTTAATGACACTTCCTGTGCACTGTAAGCCTGGTTTCTGAAACAAGTGAATCTACCTGAGAATATCTGATCGTTAGATTTTGTCCTGAGGGACACGGTTCAGTGGGTCAATATTAGTGGTACGTGGATGGTTGAACTGGATGATTTTGGAGGTCTCTCCCAGTTTCGGTGATTCTATGATTCTATAATATAGCAACTCAACAGAGCTCAGCATTTTGATTTAATATGACAGGACATGTAACACAAGCAAACTTCATCTAAGATGTGCAAAAGGAAATACCCTTCTTTTGACCTGATGGTTTCCCTACTGAGGGAATCCCTTTTGCACCCTCCACCCACACAACCTCCAGGATCCTCAATTTGCAGCAGAGTAGTCAGAGCTGCCTGCAGCCCCAAACCAAAGGCAGTCAAGCTCAGATGCAGGCAAGGAGCGCAGTTGTTTGCCGCTGTTGCCAGCATCACTGTCTCCCAGACTACTGACACCCCCACTTCCTCAATCATCTCCTTACCACGTCCTCTCAGAGTCTCTACCCAGCAGATCCCTGACACAAGGAAAGAAGAGAAGAAGCATGTGCTAGCTGCTGCTTTCACACCTGGCCCAAGTGAAAAGCTAAAGAACTACACATTCAGCAGTTCTACCAGTGGCATCCTATAGCCATAGCAGGACACTACTTAGTATGCAGGTTGGCTACAATGCTCAGGCATATCCTTGGTGTAATAATAAACTGAAGTTTGGCACGCTGATTTTTTGAAAGGACAGGCATTGAAAACTACATATGGAAGTCTGATGCCAAGGAGGTACTTTAAGAGAAAACAAAACAAAACCCAAAGGTATTCTAGCTCTCAGAGTTTGTGCTGTTTCTATATCTTCATTCTGTTTGTATGCTGCATCCCTTCTCTCTTCCTATTAAAAAATATGAAGGAGAGGAAACTTATCATTGAAAATGATAAATGCCATTGTTCACACAGCTGAAAACCAAAGATAGGCTGTTACCTCTTTTTACAGCTGTTTTTCCTATTTCTTGTGACTACACTAAAACACAAAGAATAGTAACCTTTCTGTCGATAAACCAAATCTAGCAGTCATGTAAAAATAAGAAATTCAGGAAAGCTCAGAGAAGGCTTCAGTTAAAATACTGAAGTAAGAATACGTTCCATCCAATTAACTCCTCCAATGATCATAGCAAACATAGGTTAAATAATCTGAGAAGTCTGGGTACAGACTGGGGATTTCTGCATTTCCTATGAAGTCTTAAGGCCGCTGCTCACAAAGGTCTCATCATCAACAGCTATTTTGAACTGTAAAAGCAAAATATTCCAGTACTAGATGACCAGCTTGACTTCTGTATAAATTACAGCCTACACTACAAAGTTAGCATACAGCAATTAAAATACATTTGGCCATTTGTTACTTCTTGATACCCACAAGCACGGTTTAGGAAAGTCAAGTAAACAAGGTGTTCACAATTGCATTTATCTCACTCAACCTTCCCTTTAAATGCAATACACAACTATCCTCCACTGTAGCACCCATTCCACATTCTCAAACTGTTTGGCTCCTTAAGAACATTTCCACCTTTGAAATTATAACAAAGGTTTTCCCTCCGCCCCCTTTTGTTAGAATTCATGACAGCCCTTCATACAATGCAGCAGGTGTCGAAGAAAAATGCTTTTCTATTAAGTCAGGAATGTCACTATTTGGGTCGTGAGACAGCAGTCAGACCTTCATTTTTGCAAAAGTTCTCTCCAGGGAAAACCATCAGCACATTTTATTTCCATGCTATCAACTCACTCTTATCACAGACCATAATTTTTCCAAGACAGCCATTTGAGTAAGACTTCAGCTGAGCTGAGGAAACATGAATTTAGACATTTTCTACTAATAAAGTGTCAAATACAAGAAAAAAAAAAGTGTATACTACAATTCTATTAATGCTAATTCCACTACAGACCCAGGAAGCAGGTGCCATGTTTTTATAGAAACCCTCGAGGAACTGTACACTCTGAAAATCATAGCGCAAAAAAATGGAAAGGATCACCGTACCAAAAGCAGCAACAGAAGACAGTCACTAAAGCTGAAGTACAGGTAGGTTCCTGGGCACTGCAAGGAATGGCAATTCACCTCTGTACACACAAGCAAAATCTAATTCCTACTGCACTTACATGGCATTAAGTTCTCATTCTTTTATCACAAAGTAAAGCAGAATACCTTCTTTCTCTTCCCAAACTCATACTTGATCATTTATTTTATACCACAACCATAAAGAACAGAACTAAACAATCAAACTAAGGATGTTAAAGTATTTATTTTAAGAACATTGATAAAAATAACATATCTTCAATACTGTACATTTTTTGATAATACACAGAAAGGAAGGTTAGTTAAACCGTTAGTTAACAAGTTCCTCACTTGCTGCATCATACTGGTAAGCAAGTAAAAATGCCCAAAGAAAAACCTCTAGGAAAAGAGGAAGTAGATCACATTATGGAAAAGAATAAAATGTTAATGAAATACTTAGTATGCAGGATCTGGCTGGGATGGATTTAACAGTCTTCACAGTACAGTCTGCACAGTGCAATGTTTTGTGTTTGTGGCTAAAGCAGAGCTGATAACACACCAATGCTTTGGCATTTGCAAAGTGTCAGGGTTTCTTTTTCCCCACAGTCCACTCCCTACCAGCAAACAGGCTGAGGCTGTGCAAGGAGGTGGAAAGAGAGAAGTGTTGGGACAGCAGGTGCAAACCAACCAAAGGGACAGTCCATGCTATATAACATCATGCTCAGCAATAAAACCTGAGGGGAATGTGTTTTGGTGGGAGTTGGCCACTACACAGATTGCTTCTGGAAAGTGGTGCTGCATCACCCTTTTCCTTTTTTTTTTTTCTCTCTGTCCTGCTTCCTTGACTTACTAAACTGTCATAATCTTGACCCATAGGTTTTCTCACTTGTGCTGTTCCCATTTTCTCCCTCATGCACTGCAGGAAGGGAAGCAAGTGAGCAGTGCTCAGGTGCTGGCTGGCTGGGTTCAAATCACCACACTCCATTACAACTACAGAACGTTGGCAACTTACAAAAAAGCATACAAAAGAAGTGTTCACAGAGGCTGATGTTCCTTCTTAAAAGTAGGTACATACACACCAAGTCACATTCTATATTCATTTCAAAAATTACCTTCTACCAATTTTGCTAAAGAAGTAATTTATTTTTTTTTTTAAATCGGTGATTTTCACAACTGCACTTAATTACTCAAAAACAAATAAGCTCCCCTCATTAAGCCCTTAGACAATAGTTCAGTAGTTTTGAAGACTGTTTTTTGAAGGGAAAAAAAAAGAAAACTTCTCTCATGTTATAGTGGTACATAAGAATGTGCCTGCTGTAGTTTCACCCACCTCAGTACCAACATCAGCCATTTCTGCTGTGTGAAGCTATGCTCCCTTGTTGCCTTCTATTTTTATAAAAACAGATACAATAAAGAAAAATCTTTATTTAGGAACACAGGAAGAACGGTTCAGGTGGCAGTTGATGCTGAATTTAAGTACATGACTGTGACTGCTAACCATCTAACTCGGATAACAGAAGACAGTTTTAAGAGGAAGAAAGGTAATGTTTCAAACATGTTAATATAATCAGCAAATGTTTCTACATCCAAAAACCATTTATAAGAAAAACAGTTCTATATGGATAATATATGGATAAAAGATAGAGACATGTATTTCATGAAATCTCTACCCACACCTAAGTTTTATAACCAGTGGGAGGAGGTGGGGAACCATCTTTGGAAATAAAAGACAACCTCAAAGAGCAAATGAAAATAAGCAACAAAGGAAACCACCATAAACCCACATTCTTTCTGTATTTTGGAGCTACACGTCCAGAGGAAGGTGCACAGCTTTATTCATTCTCAAATCTGCTGTATGGATTATCAGATTCCTGGAGAAGACCTGCAAAACAAAACAAAATTGCATTTATCATTTCTTTTATCATAAGCATTGCTTAGGCTTGCGTTAGTGATCTCATTACAACTGACACCATGTATGTAACGAAACTAAAAGAAATTGTCTTGTAAGAGATGGTCTCTCACCTAGACACTCAAGTAAAATAATGAATTGAAAGTGCTACTAAGCCCTCTTAATTCTCAGACTATGCTCATGAGCAGGTATTTCATGGTTTAACAGACAAAATATTTCTACAAGAAAAGTTTTGTGGAGAAGACATTTCTCATTTGTGAGGTACTGTCCACAGAATGCACCTGAAAGAGACAGGTCTACAGAACATAAGTACAGGGCTGGCTCAGGAAGAGCAGATTCAGAATAGTCAGTTTATAAATTCAAGTTATACGATCACCATCCTTTCAGATGCATGATGCTGCTATTTTGTCTTAACTCTACTTCAAATCTGCACAATCATTTGTCATGTCCAACCACTGAGGGCATTTCTGCAACAGAACAACAATCTCTAGGAACAAATGAAAATCACCCCTGCATTCAATAAAACCACCAGGGACCAAAACAAGAACACCACTTAATCCAAGTGGCAGCATGTTTCCATCACAAAGACTCTTGATGTTTTAACCAGAACACTGTTAGAAAACACTGAAGCTACCCAATTATACCGAGTGACTGGACTTGCATATCATCTTCTTTAAAGGTTAGCTGAGCAATCACTGTTCCATACAGCAATTACTTCAAAAGGATTTTAAACTACACACCAGATCTGAGCTAGACAGAAGCACATACTGTAAATAAGCAGTCCTGTAAGAGTGCAGAGGCTGATCTGTCATTGTGAAGGGACAGAGCAACTGCCAATCTCTTTTATACTGATGTTTTTATACTGCTGCCTGGCAAACCTAGACTCTTTTCTCTAGCTCATTTATTTGTGACACAGAGAGAGAAGACAGCTAAGCTAAACAGTCCCAATTCACAAATATTCACATTCACAACAGTAGAAAAGAGACTACACTAGTCATTGGCCAGTCTTGTAGGAACTCTTCATAGATCCTTTATTCAAAAGTACCGAAGGCAGACTATACTTGACTGCCTTGCTTTTCTTTCAAACTAACAGCACATTTTACGATGCCAAGCAAGCAGCGTGCCCAATTATCGTATCTAACTGCAGCTGACTACTTGATAGGGAACAGCAGTATTAAGGAACATGCACAAAAATTCTTATAATTCTTCAAATTGCAAGGATTTCAAGCAGACAATTTCTAAGAAGTTAAAACCAGGCCTCATATCTAATGGCTGTTACTTGTCTAAGAATGTGTCAGTCACCTTTATAAAGCTTCGATCAGGTAGAAAGAAAACCTAGTTACCCGATAGAGTACCTTGTATTGAAGGCACTGCCCCTTTCTATAATTATTCAGAGAAAGTCATCTTTTAGGCATTTGTGCAGGAGTTAATCAATGGTATTTTGAGACCTCAAAGTTTTTTTTCTAATCTTTAAACTTGCAGAAAGCAGTGCCACTCATTAGCCAAGGTGCCAAACATGAGAACAATCTTCCACAAAGAGGCAAGAGGTGCTGCTAGATGTCCTGACAAAATTAACTTTGGAATAAAAGGATAACCTTAATTTTGAGCTTAACCACTTAAGGGCTTCATAAACAAACAGACAAAACTACAAAGATGATCAAAGAAGCGATTGCCTTGGTTGAGTTGCCTTGACCAGTGTCTTCGACCTGTTACAGCTACAAAATACACATCAAAAAAAGTAACTATCTCCCTGAAAAAGGACATATATATGCACACACATCTGTAACTCTGCTGATTTTACTTAGTTTGTGTATCTTTCTGTATATAGTCTGGTAAGCCTTTGTGTCTTTCCTATAATTCAATCTAAACAAATACCTTCCTATGTATGAAGTGCCAAGTAACACAGTAAAACCACAGAAATGTTCTCTTACAGCCCAAATAGCTGAGATTCAATGAAGTGGTGTTCCACATCCAGTACTGCCAATTTCCAATCCAATCAGGGGAAGATACACTTCATATATCATTTTCCACAGGATAAAGTCTTACTTGCCTTCCCCCAACCCACTCAGCCAAGAGCCATTTCACACTAGTCCTGATAGTTCAAGTGAATGAGTCATTTTCGTTTGCTATTGCAAATGCATTTCTTTGTAGTGCTTCCTTTAATATTATTAAACTAACAGGCTTGATGATGAGCAGATATGTTTTCCACATTTTAAGTTAACTTCAACTCTGATTTGTTTTATTTGCACAGTACTGGAATTAATTGCTCAGGCATTAAGAACTATGGATGAATCCCAGGAAAGAAGGTACAAGCCCTCCTTCTGAATGAGGATAATCACAGCAGTTATAACATTCGATAAACTTTGGAGCTCAATCTTGCTCTCAAATATGCATCCAGGGTTAAAGTTTCTTCAATCTTCAGTATTTTAAGTACATCATTAGATTGCATTAAGTGAGAAAAAAGAGAGAGCAACTCGTCACTTCAATCAATTCTTACCAAAGATGTTGTCTCAGGCCCCAGTAAATGGACAAAAGGGGAGACATGCAAAAAGCAGCATGACAGAAAGCTAATGTCAGCTGCCACAGCTGTTCTTAGCTGTGATACTTAAAGAGGAGCTGCAAGCCCATGCTAATTGGATAGCATGCCCAGTGCAACAGGAGCTCACAGACTGCCTTGAATCAGACATGAAGGTTGTTTCCCTTGGCATAGGAGCAACTATCCAGCTTGTAATTTACATTCACAGGTTCAAAGCAGATACACTTTTGCAGGCTGAAGAGTCTTGTTTGCAGTAAAGTCCCTTAAACATTACTGTAAACTTAAATACTGATGTGCAGGACACTTACAAGAAGCATGAGCATCTTACTTTTATTCATCTTCATTACCAGATTACTATTTGACCTACTTACCAGTATTTAAGTAGGACCAGAAATTTGAAAGGCATAATAGTCAAACATCTTTCCTTAGTTTGTATGAAATAAGGCCTCCCACTACATATGAAACAACAAGGCAATTGTAGAAATTCAATAAGTCTTCCCATCATGTTCATTTATACTATATATCATGCTAACTATGCAACATCTCACCTTCATCACATTGTTGGAAAACAGAATCAAAAGAAATACTTACAAGACATTGTATACACCTCAAAAATTGAGGTTTGCTATATGCTGCATATCTTCCTTTCCTCTTTAACATTCAAATTAACAACCCTACTCTTAACATAGGAGCTAAACAGCTTCAATCGTACAGCAATACAAGTGTCACCATTATACATCCAGAACGCTAAAGAAGGTCAATATGAAGTATGCATACTAAATAGGAGAACATTTGATGAGACAAACTACTGAATATAAAAATCAATGTGCCACATCAAATAAAAGGATTACGTATCACTAAATTGGCTATCAAAACCTTTGCAGTATTGAAGTGGTTTGGAAGCCCAAGACCATGAAAAGCAATCACTCTGTAAAAATAAGAGATACAGAATCCTTCTACTAATACCAGGCAAAATCATGGAAAAAAATAAAGCAGCTTCTTACTAATGCTATACTGAACATACAATAGCAGCAAATTCAGCAGCAATTAAGTTGTAGTTCCTTTGTATGTTACACAAGCTGCACAGTACCCTGAATTCTACTTTAAAATTTTCTAACAGTCAACATATAATTTGTGTAATCACACTGCATTCACATATGTGAGCAAATGAGAAATACTATCAAATTTTGTCACAAAGAAAGAATTCAAAGTGTGTATTCCTGGTTGCTAAAGCTCTCTACAGCTTCCAAAGCTCCCAAAGGACTGTGGCTAGAGTGACACCTGCAATGCATTATAAATGTGTAATTACCATTTAAATGGGGTAATGAAAGCTGGTGGATGAAATGGGAAAAGGCATTCCCTTAAAGCCAACCAAATACTGAAATTTCAGGCACGATCATCTTAATCTACAGAGTCAGGTTAACAAAGTCATTGTCATTCTGCCACTCATCCGTGCCTACTTAACTGAGAATCATCTCTGCAACGCATAAGAGTCTAAAATAATCTAGTGTCTCCATAATTATTTGCAGCAATTTTTATTAGATTATGCTTAATATGCTAACATATGTATTTGCTTGACAGCTAAAAATGACAGAAGATTAAAGGTTATAGCTGGACTTATTGCATTGTCTCACCGACTTATTTTGACAGCCATGTGTCTGTATGTTATCAGAATACAAGCTGTAAAGATCAGCAATGATATTTAGGAATTTCAGAAGTTGTATGTTTCGTCTTCCACCTTTCTTCAGTTACATGCCTCCTTTCAGTATGTTCCAATGATTCACATAAGAGTTCAGTTTTCCTTTAGGGCAAACAATGAATTATTGAAATACAGGCCTCAAACATACCTGGGAACACAAAGTAATCTCTGACTTCGCAATAAAGCAAACCAGTCAACAAATAAACCTTACGTAAAAATTTTCTACTAAATCCTGACAGTTAAATCGTAATCTTTCATGGGTAAACTGCATTGCAAAGTTTAACCATGTGAAGGAACGGACATGCTTGACGCTTCCTGACAAAATACACCTTCCACTAACAAAGACTGCATGAACTTGTTCCCAAATATGTCACTGACAGCCCACCATGCTTCAGCTGAGGGGCAAAGTGACAGTAACTCTCAGGATAGCTACAAGCAAGATTTTGAATTTGGTACATGTATCCCAGAGGCACTGAATCACAGTTGTATTCTTCAGAAAATTCACGTACTCCAAGCAAGATTCAACCAAGCATTACTGAAGTTAACCACTGACAAGAGAAGCTCATCTCCACAAAGATGTATGGCCATCCAGAGACAATCAAACTAACTATCACAACCAGAATAACTGAACACAGCTATTTGAAATGTCACTTAACCCCAGTGCAGTGCTTTGATATACTAACTGCTATTCCAAAGTCAAATCCTAAGGTTGTTGGTTATTAAAAAAAATCAAATTTAAAAAAGATTCAGACCTATTGAAACTGATCCCCTCTGCCAACCACAGTTCAGTCACCCTACAAAACACTACAGGACTGAAGTTCATGACTGACGTCTAACAAGAATTCTTCTCTCAACAACATTCTTCAGCATAAGCTTCACAATGATTTTTTCCTCTGTTCCAGCAGAATAGTGTACTTCCCATGGAGAGAATTTCCCATACAGACCAACAGTATTATTTCTGCATCAGCCAAAGGACACACTGCATTGTGGACTCATGGTATTGCTAGAGTCTGCCAATCAGTTTAAGAGGAGGATAAATTAACAGTTCTGAGTGATTCTTCAGACCCCTAGAATCACCTTCTCTGACATTATAGTAATTTGCATAATAAGTGCAGGATAGTTTTAGCATATCTATCTCTGAACACACAGTACTATTAACCCAATGAACAAGTCAAATGAAAACTGAAAGGACTGACAGGCCTAGATAATATAAGTCTCCTATATGATGCACCAGGTCCCACAGCCTTGCAATATGCATCTCCTACTGGATCACCATTCCACTTAACAAGAAACAAGCCCCAACAATTTGAATCACAGTGTCTTTTTTTTTTTTAAAGCTTGATTTTAAAAGCTTATTTTCTAGCCAGCCTGCCCTCCTTCAATAACCATTGGTCTAGGTCTCCTAGCAAATTTCAGCCAGATTGTTTTGTTGAATTCAAGAACTTAAAAAAAAAAAAAAAAAAGCACTCTTAGGAAGATGCAGAAAGAATTTCTTACAATATATTTAAACATCTACCTTAAGCAAACAACCCATTCAGCACATTTACTCTCACCCAGTTGGAGAATTAGCACAAGGAGAGAACAAGAACATAAGAGCAATGAGATCAGGTGTTCAGGTGGCAGAAGACACAAGAGTAGGAAACCAGGTTTGATTAGTTCTGCTGCTCATAAAGCAGAATGCTTCCACTGTGAATTTTAAAAATAATTAGAAGGGAAAAAATAAATTTAGATACTGAATATTGAAATAAAGATACCACGTACCATACTTCTTACGTATTTCATCATGCTTCTGTTTTCTTTCATGTTTCCTGCAACAAACAAAGGCATCAGAAGAACATTCAGACTATTTTAAGCTACAAGCAAAATATGATAATTTGTTAAAAATATGCAATAAATTTAAAAAACCTATTTATCAGTTATGTATTTTAAAGACAGGATTCTCTGTAACTTCTCACTAATCAATATCATCATTAAAAATACATTTGCAAGCACAACAAAACAATTTTTTAATATATATAAGTGATGTACCCAGATGTATGTACATATACACACAAGAATCAATGGGCAGTATAATATTTTCATTAAGACAAAAGGTGCTGTATTACTGCTTTATTTAAACAGCACAGCAAGTGTGAGAACTATTAGTTTCTATGATTTAACACTGTATTGAAGCAGAAAAAACACTAAAATATTGCTATATTGTAAAAAAAAAAAAAGCATCTAGTTATGTTGTCTAAGTTTTCAAGACAGTATCTAACACTGCCAAACTTTAACCATTTCCAGAAACCAAGTACCTAATGAGTTATTTTTTTCTCTCTCACCCCTCTCTCCCTTGCAAAGGTATGGAGGGAAAAATGAAGGAAGATATTAGACACCAGCTGTCAACCACTCTCACTGCCCACCACTGTGCAGTAGCAACATTTTTAAGATACTTACTTGTGTTTCTACTTAACAATGTAATAGTGTATTTATAGTTCTGAATTTAGATACCAACATATTCCTGGTTAATAGAAGATCACATATTCTCTGTAGCTTACTGGTCAAAAAAGACTATTAACGTACTTTAGAGCTTGCTACTAGCAATTCCTTCTCAGGACTCACAGGAAGCAAGTAAGAGGCAGGGAGAGGTGTTCTGGCCTCCTCCCGGCTTTTTTCCACAACCCTACCAAGCTCTCCCTGGGTACGAAACAAGTACGTGTGTTCAGAACACATGAAATACCCCAGGGCTGCTGTTATGTTTTGTCCTGCAATTGGAACAGTGTACCTGTTACATAGACAGTCCTGACACAAGCCAAGAAGGAGAGCTGCTGCTCCAAGACTGCAGCAATCATTCTGGCAGGGCAACCTGCTTCCAGCAATCCTTGTTCCTATGCTCAGTTCAAGAACAGATTCAGTCTTAGTTCTGCCTTGTAAACTGTCCAGTGCAACATCACTTCCTCTGTGTGCACAGCAAAGTATACATTCCTGAAGCATCAGATTTCCTAAAGATTAACCATATTAACAATTTGAAGATGATACACAGATCACAGTAGAGACATTATGGTATACAGTTATCCCGTGTCCCTGGTCTTGAGCCACTGCTTTAGAATAAAAACACATTAAGTGCTCATTTAACTGAATACAGCATATATATGGCCTAAATAAGTTTAGCACAACAGGGCACATGGTTTTGACATACAACAAAATGCTCACATTCCTCACAGGATTCTACGTGAGGATTCCCTTTAGTAGAAAACCACTTTTCTTTTCTCTCTGTTGTTCTTTTTCTCAGCTTCACCAATCCAATTTTCAAAAAACTAAAATGGACAGAATAACAGTGGAAGGGTGAATAACAAGCATAGCAACACATCATCTACATACTGCTGACACTGGAATTTCTGACTACTAGAAGTAGGTCAAATCTTGATGTTAGACAGGGTGACAAAGAATGAATGAGGGACATAGCTTGTCAAGGTTCTTGATGAAAAACTGGGATCCATATTAGTACACCAGAAGATATGTATCAGTCTTATGAAATTATTCAATTAGTCTTATCAAATCATCCCAAGCAGTTTGCTATCTGAAGAACATTCATAACAACTCTGGAGGTATTCATAATATCAGAAAAGTTATCATAGAGAATCTCTCATCATGTCTTTGTAAAAGTTTGTTCATAATAGTCAAAGCTCAATGACCATCACACAACTATGTGAGGTTTTTCCTAAAGAAAAAAAGCAGCAAAAGGTAACAAAAATCATAACGCAAACAATGTAAAGCGGTGTACTTCCCCCCCCAAAAAATCAAAAGAATATCAACAAAAATAATGAAAAAAAGACATGCAGATTTTTTTTTTTTTATAAGCATTCAATGGTTTTTTTTTCAGTGAGCTTGAGAGATAGAGGAATCACAGTGTCCTGAACTCTAAAACATCTGTAGTTTGATTGCTCCTTGTATTTCCCAAGAAAGCACAATTATCAGATAGTATTGGGGAAGCTCCTCAACAGCAGAATGTAACAGTTTGCTGTTACATTGCTGACACAAATGTTGGTAGCAAGGTGGGTTTGGATACCTGTACTCCATCATGTTGATTTAGTAACTAATAGGAGATAACAAGAAAATAACAATAGTTGGCTACCTGTGAATAAATACTTCCTGGGATGTTTCACTTGGTGAAAGCCTTTTTTGAGGGCAGTATACTATCAATGTCTTACAGGAAAGTTCATAAGAACTAAGCCTGCAGGTTCACACAACTGTTTCAAACTGAGACAAAAGATGATAGGACAGAGGAAGGATATGAATATAATGGAAAATCCCCTTAACGGAATACACAGAGAAGCATATGACTAGTACAGAAGTCCATCACTTATTACAATAAATAGTTAACCTAGTCATCACTGCTAGATCAGCTGTCAGGGTTGGTCTTAAGAACATGCACCTTTTATAACAAGACACAGATTAACAAATTCATAAGTGTCAAGCTGGAGTAACTGCACAGCTGTGACAACATGCTCCACACTAAGGTGTCAACACGTGGAGTATTCCCATATGAGAAACTTAATGCCTTCATTCAAAAACTCGCCAATGGGTCTTACCTAGAAGTACACCTTTGCTTCCTGCTGTCCCTACTCATACTAGCAGTGAATCTAAGCTCAGGAGAAAATGGCAGGCAATAGCCAAGCAGTGAAGGCACCCACCTGATATCTTGCTGGTAAGACCAAAGAAGGAACTATGGTTCAAGAAGTACATAGTGCAGGTAGGTAGCATGTAGCATCATGGCCTTACCTATAAAATCTGTTTACCTAAAAAATAATGAACAACTAGCCACAGGAGAACTAAGGTATAAAATCCTCCATCCTGAAGAATACTTCTCTCACTGAGCAGCACTGCATCAATGCCGATTCTTCATAGCACTATTAGCCTTGCACTTCTTTCTACACAGTGCACAATTTTCACAGAAATATTTTGTACAATCCCACATTTCTAACACTTGAGTGAAAGTTTTCTACCTCTAAGCAGAAGTTCTAACTGATATTTACCTACCATCTTGTCTACTTTTCTTTAAAAGAAAGCAAACAAATTATTAAATTACTTCAAAGAGGTTATCATCCCTGAATCCCAGCCTCAATGAGGTATTAACTCGTGCCACAGACAGGCATCAGTCAGTGTAGAGCCTAGGGTAAGACTTCAGACACAACCTTCCCATTTGCTCTCAGCTGGCACAGGGAGCTCAGGGTACTTACTACAGTGATCAACAACCTCTCAGAGGTTACAGAAATGCCAGCTCCTAATTCAGTCTGTAAATCCCACATTGAGCATAGTTGTTTAGAAGTATGACACTGTCAAGGAAACTTCACAGTATCCCTATCGGAGTCTTTGTTTAGCATTCAATGTATTCCTTAGAAAGGCAGAATACTCCTATATTACTGCAGGCTTGTAGCTATACATCAACCTGCCATGACTTACCTCTGAAGAGACTGCAGTCTTCGTTCCTCTCTCTTTCTAGCTAGCTGTTCTTCTTCTTCATCTGGTCTACTAGAAGGCACATGAGGAAGAAAAAGCAACTTCAGTGCTAAGCAATCCATGTTTAGTCATTTATGTTTAGCTACATAAAATTTAATTGCTCAATAATGGAAAAGTTTGTAGAATTACCCTTTCACATTTTATTACACCCATATGATTTGTTCATTGTAGTAACGTGCCATTCAAATTTCACAGGACAATTTAAAGCCTCAAACAGGTCGCAGACCATTCCAGAAACAGGGATTCTACTTGCTATTTCCTCTGTGTGTCGCACCGCATTTAGAGTAAGCCAACTGCACACATACATGCACAGTTAAGTTCATCGTTGCTCCTTGAAAGAAGACTGATGGCTCATAAGCCTTTGGTGTCAGGGCAATTTATCTTTCCCAACAACCACTGCTATCCAATCTCAAGTTGCCCTCAGGAAAGCCGTCTGAATGAACTGTCTCATCAGCTGTCTGCCTTGTTACGGAGTAAGCAAGGACTTACCTGAGTGTATCAGCTGTGTGAATTTGGGAAGTGCTGAGTCTGCAAGGTACATCTGAGCTGTGTGCACAGAGGTACTCTACTGAATGCATGTACTAAAATTGCATAACACAGCAAGAGTTGCAGTATACAGCCGTTTTATGCCGTTAGGAAAAGCTTTGTGACTTGCTTTGAGAAAGCTCAGCTTCACTTATTCATCAGCTATATCATATGAGAACCGTAAGACTTCAAAACATATGCTAAACAATATTTAATTGTTTGACAGAATTAAACCACAATTCTTCAGGACTAGTGAATGGACACTTGCCATACTCCTCCAGAGGCTGATCATTTTTCAGAACTGAATGTACTATCTGGAGATGGAATGTTATTAATATCTGCAATACTAACACATCTGCTAATAGTGAAACACAGTTACAATGCCATACATCTGCAGCAACCAAAACACAAGTTAAGCAAGAGTGACATCCAGTGGTTAATTAGAGCATGTCTAATGTCTTAACATGAAAAAGGAGCTCAGAACTAGTAATCCGAACTCAATTTTCCCACCTGTGCCATCAGTCTATACACATTTGAATGCACAAAGATGTTTAAATGCAATCCACCAATTCAAAATCCACACTGCGTTTAATGTACAAATTTTCTAGCCCCTGTAATTTTGTTACCATTTAAAGTTAGAAAGTCTAACTCCAATAATTTGGGGGTGTTAACAATAGAAAACAGCAGGTTCTCTTAATTACAAAACTATGCTAGATCCTTTTGTCTGATTAATTATTCCCCATATTTGTATGCCCAAGAAGACTAGAAGCTTCTATTCACAGGTATCCTTCTGTAAAACTTCCCTACTGGAGACCCTAATGCCTTCTTGATTGTCTCACCTCACATGGGTCTTGCAAAAATCAATGGAAGGATGGTATAGGGTTCAGAGTAGGTATTTATTTCCTATAACTAAAAAAGCATCAACTTATGATTTCTGGACATTGCCAAGAAATTAAGTTTTTCATCAAATTCAGAAAGTTTGAAATGAACAATCACTTTTTTTTGGGGGGGGGGGGGGGGTGGATAATCTGAAGTAGTTATAGAGAAAGTTTATTTTAGTGCAGTTCCATGAATAGTTGCCTCTCAAGTGCATGGAATGAAACAAAGTCCAAGCACATGATAAAAATAACAAAAATGCAACAATGCCCTAAAAGCCAAAGGATTTCTGTTGTAGGGATGGAGTCAGATGCTGCCTTCTAAAACATTATATAACTGTACAATTGTAAACTCTCAGAAGGAATGCTGATGCCTCTGAAAACCCAATAAATCAACAAAACAGACCTAATACTACACTTCTACAAGTTTTCATTTTTCCAATTTATACCCAGCTTTTTTGATGGAAAAAGGAGTCCTCGAATCTCAGAAGCAGAGGGCAAAAGAATTCCAGCTGAGAACGAGTGGGTTTAAAGCTACTAATATCTCAGACTGCAGTGTAATAATACATTCTGAATCTTCCTGAAATAAGCTGGACCCCACTTTGACAAGACCTTTAAATCCACTAAGTGTCAAAAGATTAAGCTTGACACCTTTGGAGTAGTGACATAAGATGACTCTCAACTAACCCTCTATTTTTAGAATGAAATGCTACAGTAGTGATTGACGACTTAGCTACTAAAACTGAAGTCTGACACAAATCTCTTTTTTCACAGGAATCAAGCTCTATTTGTTTGCATGTCAGCCACAGGAGCCCACACAGTTCTTCTGCAGAAGAAGTTGACAGATCTTACATAAAATCTAAAGCAGTTTTATGCAGTTCTCAGGGCTTATCAGGGGTATGGAGTTAGCAATTTTTGCACTGGGATGGATTTGCACTAGGACAGACCAATCTGCCAGCAGAGCACCACCTTCATGGAAAAGAGAAAAGAATGGCTTTTTTTTCCTCTTGAAAGCCACAGATGTATAATTTTTCTCTAGCTCGAAGGACAGTACTAAACAACGCCCAAGTACATAAATTCTAACAAAAGAATCAAACAAGGAACAATGAATTACATCTACCTGAAATAGTACAGAAATCATTTCAGATCAAGAAATGAGGGCCCACATTTCATTCACAAGAGAAATTCCAAAGCTGGAACTACACTACCCAGAAACCTAAAACTCTAAAATTTCACCGATGCTAAGGAGAATAACGCGATGCCCCAATAAACATGGCCTTTCACGTGTTTCACTAGGAAATAACCACTTATCACTTCAGATGACAGCACTGAGTTTTTGTGTGTGCTAGCTGCTCATCAACTAATACTCCCTCCTTCAAAAGGATGCTAGCCAATTAAAGGAGTACAAAAAAAAAAGTTTTACTAGATCTCCAAGATCTAAGTGACATTTTCTAGTAAAGTAATACTGAAGAAATTAAGTCATCCTTAATATCCTAAAACAAAAGAGCAGCATCTTACATTTAGAATATTTCACTGAATTAGCAAACACAATGGGATACTGATAACCCACTGACAGACCCTGGAGCATGGGTACCAAATACCACAAGACATTGTTGCTCACTCACATATTCCCCACTTGATCCCTTTTTGCTTGCTTTAGAAGACTCACTCATTCCACAATCGCAAGTAGTATTCATTTTGGCCATTTAAATACTTCATGCCCAGTCTTAATAAGGAAATGTAAAATGTGGGATGGTAAAGCAATAGTGATTTTGTCACTAGTAACATCACTTCACTGTTATTCCAGCATCATTTCCACTGTCACTACCTGTCACTAGATATCTTCTTGTAGTCTTTCTGAAATAAATAAAAGAGTGTGACCAAATATGCTTCCAAATTAGAAGACTCTTAATATGTTGGCATGCAAAAGGTTGGGGTCTTTGTTTTGCTTCTGGTGCATGACCAGGTAGGGAAGACCAGCAGCCAAAGTTAGTGAAGAAATCAAATACACATACTTACCTCTTGAAACGTTTTCTGCAGTAACAGCAGTAACAGCAACAGACTGCTACGGACACCAGAATGATTCCAGCTACTACTGCTATGGCAATAATTAAAGCCTCAAAGTTTACTGAAAAACATGAATATATTTAACTCGTTAAACTCTAGCATTAACATTTATCTTCCTGATAGTTCTTCCCTCTCATTCCAAAGCCTTTTTTCAGCTCCACGCACAAAAAAATAAAAACCAACACCCTAATCCAATCAGAACTCCACGTCACATTAGAATTTTGCTATTGTCTACACTGAGGAGAATTTCTTTTTAAATTGCTTTTTACACATTCAAAACTGTTAAAACTCATTCTGTAATACTTTATATTATACCTATCTTCCAGTGCAGTTGCACAGTTCTGTCCTCCCAATAACTACTTCAGTCACTGTACTGTGACCAAAAAGCAGCTATGTAGATGCAGCAGTATACGTACATTATGGGCAAAAGCAATTGATAATGTGTTAATTTTTTATTCCATAAAAAACTGTAACTGGAAGCCGGTTATTTGTTTTTGAATTTTGAGAGTTGCAATATTCACCTTTATTTTCAGCAAAACTGAGCCAATGCCTGTCTCTTCATTTTATTTGCAAAAAGGAAAATTAAGATGACTGTGCTAACAGATTAATTAAGTTTCCTACTAAATCTGAAGGGGAGAGCCTCAATAAGAATAGGCCACAGAACCACAGAACTGCAGGGATTGGAAGGGACCTGAGGAGATCATCAAGCCCAACTCCCCTGCTAAAACAGGTACCCAGCAATAGGTCACACAGGTAGGGATCCAGATGGTATCGACCACAATGTACTGCTGCATAGAATTCGTAAAAAAATCTCTGAAGCAAAACACATCTTCTTCTGACATTTTTTTTTTTTTTTTTAAACTTTTACCACTTTTGCCAGGAATGTGCTCCTTTACAATGTAATAATTCTGTGTTTAAGCTATATTCATTCCAGAAACACAAACCACACAAGCTAGAAATCCTTCCTCTATTAAAAAAAAAACAAAAAAACAAGCCAACAACCTACCTGTCAAAAGCACCGTCAGTATCAGTAAAACCCTTAATGACCACTTTGCAAAAGGATGCAGTACAAGTGTCATTCCTTACTGGGCCTAGCTGGGATGCAGTTAACTTTCTTCATAGCAGCCCATACAGTGCTGTATTTTTACTTAGAATTTTGGCTCAAATAGTGCTGATAACACACCAGCATTTCGCTATTGCTGAACAGGTCTTGCTTAACATCTAGGCTGCTCTTTCAGTCTGCTAGGAGTGTGCAGAGACTGGGAGGGAGCACTGCTGGGACACCTGTCCTGAACTGACCAAAGGGATGGATATTCCACATTCCAATCATAACCACTGCCTTTCCCCACCCCTCCACAACCTTCCCAGTAAATTATCAGGGAAAAGCTGCAGTAAGTGGCAGCCTCACTTCAGACTGAGCACAGTTGTAGATGCATCCCTACCGCAGAAGTAGAATTAGTACGTACTCCAACAAACTCCCCATCGAGCATTTGAGAGTGAACATGACGAAGATGATGGAAGAATGCTTCTTACAGGATAATCAGTACAAGTGTTGTTGGTGAAACACCAAAGGCACTGTGCAAAACAAACAAAAATTATTGATCTTCAGAAAACAATTTGTAACAACTAATCAATTATAAAGCAATTTATAATCAAGTGCTCCTCTCCACAGACAAAAGTATGATACAGTATTACACGCTCATAGCATCTTGTAGTATGGAACCTACAGAAGTTCTGGCACAATTCCGAAGTAAGCCTGATTTGAATTTTGTACTTTGAGATAAATATTTATACAGGTCTGAAATCATTTTGGTGACATACTAAGGTACTCAGTACACCTGAGAATAAAAAGGTTTTTTGTTTATATTCACCACAATTAACCCAGCAAATCAAGTAAATAGAATGGAGAATCACGCAGAGAGATGATTCTCTTAAGACATCAAGCAATATCTACACATTATCTCATGATAAATTTATCAGTTTTTAATGTAATGGTAATTTTATAGTAATACTCATTTTGAGTTAGCTGAGTTTCTGGATTCAAAAGTTCTAACCAAAACTCTCACACATTATTCCTTACAAAATAGTACGTTTAAAATGAAATGCAACAGCGTATCCATGACAATGTCAGTATTCAGAACTTCTTGATAGAAGTACGAGAAAATAGGTACTCATCAACTCAGAAAACTAACTCAACTATAATTACTACAAAGATCAGATTATTTGGATTATAATTCTATTTAAATGAATCAAATGACTACATTTTAGAGTTTGTTTGGATTTTTAGTTATTCACTAGAAGTTTAATTTTCATTTTTATCTGCTGCTATTACCTCCACAATCATCAACTTGCAACTTCTTCAACTAAAGCAATTTACCTAATTCCAGCAATCCTTTGCTTTCATATTGCTCAAACAAATGCTGATAGCTTTACTTAAAGCCTTTTTCTTCTTTAAACGTACATGTGAGTTCTCTGAATTAAGTCTAAAGTCACTTCTTCAAGGTTAACAGTGATGCTATTGCAGTAGTTGCTCTGAATCATCCATCATTCTGTCATTGGCACAAGACTGGTCTCCATCATTATTTTCAGAACCTGTCAAACCAATGTATCTGTAACTGCTACAGTGCCTTCAGAGCACATAGACATCTAAAGGACTTTTTTCTCTCACAAGGTGAACACACAGCTCTCAGGTTAATAAGGTGGTGCTCATGTGCCAGTTTTGGTCCTCCCAGGCACCAGCCACAGTGCCTATTTGAAGTGACAGTCACACCACTGGTAGTAACGAACATTTAACCTTCAAGGACCCATATTTCCTGTTTCCTACTTTGCATTTTTGGAGATGAAGAGTTCTTTACACAATGCCAGGTTTATGATGACAAATACAAAAGTCCATCAGCCCACAATCAATGGCTACATCAACACAAAGCAATTAATTTTTTTTTTAAATTCAGAAAGATACATAAATGCATAAAACAAGCACAAAACAGATAAGTTTGGATATTTCTCAATTATCCCTTGAGAAAGTTTCACAGTAACTTATGTAACTGCAGAACTCCTGAAGCAATTCTTCTCAGTGACAACTAGTAACAGGCAAGAACTGGAAACACTCTCTCACACTGCAGGGGCAGACAGACTTGGATATTTATCACAACTTACCATACTACAGAGCTGCAAAGCTTTTGAGTAAAGGACACAGAATCAAATTCTACTGATTTAAATGTCTTCATTACTACAGTCTCATTGGAAATCAAAACACTTTGCTGCAGTGACCTAGCCTGGTGGTGGAGAGGCAATGCATCTGAACATCTACAAAGCACCAATCCACTCTGCTTCAGTTGAATGCACTGCTCAAGACAACTCTAGAAAAAGGCATTTCTAGCTTGCTTCACTCATAGCTAGCTCTCATTATCTGGATACAAGAAATGCAAGGCATTTTATCCACCTATGAGTAATTTTACCCAGCTCTCCTGTAAGGTGGAAATACAACCAATGCTGCTTCCAAACTGAAGGCAAGAATCAAAACCAGGAGCAGCAACTTGCTTGGTTGCATTGTGGAAGCACCCAGAACCCACAGCAATGTGCAGCCCACATTCTACTCAGTCAGTGCCCTCCAGCCAAGCCAGAGAAATACGCTCAGCAACTGACCAGACCAGAGCACCTGGAGAGGGAAAGTACAGGTGACAATTGGAAAGAAGAAGGAAATCAAGTGAGCGCTTCTACTAACTCAAAACCAGCCTAGAACCTACTTATCTGGATCTTCTCTTATTAAGGGTAGTTTAACCAGGTTCATCATTCCTAGAAAACAAGAACAAAAAAACCCATCCAAACAGCCAACGCACAACTCAGCTTAATAGGAAGTGGAAAAGCATCAAGTTCCCGGTAAAATATATATATATATTATATATATATATTAAGAAAAAGATACTTAAAATCTTACCGAAACATTTTTTAAACATTCTTCACAGGACCTCTGGGAAAACTCTGAACATGCTAGAGAAGAAAAAAAAACCACCACACGTATCACATTTATGTGTATTCAAATGTTTAACATGATACTTAGATTTTTCTCCTCATACACGTTACTAGGTACAAGCAAAAATTTTGATTATGAAAGGGATGATGTTACAAAATATAATGCTACTCCAGTAACTGGAAAAACAGTTTTGTTCCGCCTTATACACTTCTCTGGGCTGCCTAACTTAGAAGATCCACATATTTCCCAGCAGTTACGTGCTTGCTCCCTTCAAGAGTAGAGAACAGAAGCAACTTCTCTCAAGCTAAGGAACACGCAGTCTCCCAGTCTACTTGGAAACAGCACTATGTGTACAGGCACAGAGATAAAAAAAAAAAAGCAACTTCGAAGTTTCCAGTTTCAAACAGGCACTATCATAACTTCATCAGGGAAAAAGGAATTGTCAGGCATAGCACTACTACTAACAGTGATACATTTTTAGTTATTCATCAGTCTTCTATATTTACATATGAAATAAGCATTAAGCATCTAACATGAAATAAAATGAAGAACTGTTTTTACATAGCAAGTCCGGTTTACCAAGAAGCAGAAGCAGCATTTGATAAGCAGAATCATTCTTACTGAAGTGTTTTACCAAGAAGCAGAAGCAGGATTTGATAAGCAGTACCATTTTTACTGAGCATAACACACCTTGCACAGAGCTAGCTACAGTATCAAGATTATATTCTCACAGGGAAATAGATAAAAACTATTACTGTTTACACACAATTTTCTTTTTTTAATGACTAGAATTCTGTCAGCACATACAGGAACTGTAATACCTTAATTACTTGTATGACCTCACCTACTGGGGAATGCACTCACGGACCTGTGTAACAACACAGATAAAGCATACAGGCTCTCCTTCACAAAATACAAGCACAATGGAATGCACAGACAATTTTAAAAAGCCTTTGTTTAAACACATTGCTCCACCTCCCTAATATGCAGGAAAGCAGCACATACAAAGGGTTTTTTTTATTATTATTACTATTTATTTTTTTAAGGAAGACAAGGCTCTGAAACACTAAGAACTGCGCTGTAGCCTTCAGCCCAGTGATCCTTTCAGGAGGAAGCTCCCACTATTCCACTAAAAAACAAAACAGTACAACTGCTCAGATAGTCAGAAACCTTTTCACACTTACGTTATTCATGGATAGTTTGTATTAGTTTGCTTTCTATCTACATCCTTCCCACCCAGCATAGTTAGAAAAAGTACTCTTGTTGCCCTTCAAGTTTCCTTTTTCTCCAGTAATCAAGCCCTGTAGAACATCCTTCTCTTAGGGGCACTTGCAAGCAGAAAACCTTTGTAGCCCTGTTTTGTGCACATCCAACTTTGCTAAACTTCCACATCAATGAGCAGCACAGCGTGCCATGTTCTCCAGCCACAGACTTACCACTGAACAGCCTCCTTGCTCTTCATGAGACCATCACTCTGGTAACTGAGTCACCTGACAGTCAGCAAGGCCTTATGTTTAGCAACTACTTCGTTTAGGATTAAAATAAGACTATAAAACTACTGATACGACATAGAAATCCAGCCTTTCTTCTTCACTTTAATCTGATTTCTAGCACTTATTCCTTAAAGGTCACTGAATCTTTTCACAGCACACTTTGTGCCATGAGCAACTTCCTAAAATCACGTGGAAATAAAAACACACAGAAAGTCCTTTCCAAGGAACCATGTTGCCAACTCAAGCCAGTTTTTGTCTCAAACCAAGTTCTTTGCTGTATGCTTCTATTAGAAAGAGACTGATTAACAGGCAGCTGTTAGCAAGTTCCTTCCTAACTGCTGAGGAGCTATTGAGAAACAGGCAGCTCCCTTCCTCTGCTGTCCCAGGTCTCACCAAGTCAGACGTCTTTTCTCAAGTACAAACCCTACCATAAAATAAACGAGACTCCTCAAATGGGACTTTAAAAGCAGGTGTCACAGACTACATAGGATACCCGAATTTAAAGCAGACTAACCCAACCTTTCTACTCGCATCTGCTAAAATCACTCAAACGCCTTCCAAAAGCGGTATAACCGACCCCAAGGCAACGAGCAGGATGGAACAGCACGCAGCCAGCTTCCCAGGCGATTTCCTCGTTATCAGCGAGGAAACGGGCGGCACGTTCCCCAGCCAGCAGCCCCCCAGACCCCACCCCCTGGGGCCGCCCTGCCCCACCTGCGGCGGAGGAGGACGTGGGGGCGAGGGCACCCGCCCCTCCACAGGGCGCTTCCGAACGGCGCGCGGTGGCCTCGGGGCGAGCTTCGCGCTGCCCGCAGTTCCCGCAGACGTTCGGCCGCCGCCTCCTCCTTACCCTGCGCCGGTGCCGGCGGAGTCGCGGTGGCGAGGAGCTCCTCGGCCATCCCGGCGCAGCTCCAGAGCAGCACCAGGCCCAGCAGCGCCCGCGCCCGCCGCGCGCCCATCGCCCCGCGCAGCCTCAGCTGGTGCGTAGGGCGGGCACTGCGCCTGCTCCGTGGAGCCGTGCTGAAGGCGCCCCACAGCTGCGCGTTTGGCTTCTAGCAGGCTGTGCGTTCTGCAGCTGAGCTTTGTTAGCTTTTCTATCGCCTGGCTCAGGAAAGGGAGGTTCGATATTGGGCAGTAGATAGCCAAGAATGACTGCTTCACTTAGAAAACGAACGGTCACACAAGTACAGAATGGCAGGGGTTGGAAGGGACCCCGAGGTCATCGAGTCCAACCGTCTGATAAAAGCAAGTTCCTACAGTAGGACCCCGAGGAAGGCGTCCAGATGTGTCCTGAATTTCTCCAGAGAGGGAGAGAAACCACCACCTCTTTCTGTTCCAGTGCTCTGTTAGCCTCACAGTTGGAACTTCTTATGTTCCAGTTTGTGCCCATTAGCTGTTGTTCTGTCACCTTCACCACTGCAAACAGCCCAGTCCCATCCATTTGACTCCCACCCTTTAGATGTTTATAAGCACTGATAAGATTCCCCATTAAGCCTTTTCCAGGCTGAACAGCCCCAGGTCTCTCAGTCTTTCCTCATATAGGAGATGCTTCAGGCCCTGAATCATCTTTGTCACTCCCTCCAAGAGTGGCTCTGACCATTTCAGGCAGTAGTGATGACCATTGCTTCTGACCCTCTTTCACATAGTAGGTGGCATTTAGACCACTTTTGTCAGTCGTGTCATTATGAAATCAAGTTTGTGAGGGTAGGGAGAGCAGCTCTTCATTGTTTGAGTCATTGAAAATGTACTTGAGCACTTTAGGAGAAGTAAGATGAATGTTCTTCACAGAGTTTGACTTTGCCACCCCTTTTGTCTTCAGACATCTATTACACCTTACTGTGGAAATTAATCTCCCTGAAATCCCCCGCAGTAAGAGATGAGTAGCTCCAGAAAAACATTCAGAGGGCAACAGGCTAACTGCTAGTAACTTGGGGGACTTAGGGAATGAATCTTGTCCCTTGGTTCTAAGATGGGCTGTCGGCCTTCAAAGCTGACAGATATCACACCAGGATGGCTTTGTGAGAGATCTGACAGTTACAGATTGGAAAGTGCCTTCACCTTAAATGACATTTCAACCCATATATTGAAGAGTTACTTACATTTCACATAGCCTATGTCATCTTTGGATTTCTGCCCACAGCACTTGCATTTCTGCTTCTCTGTTTTCAGAGAGTGTTCGAAAACCAAAGTCAAAGTGTGGGTGAAAGCACCATATGCAAACCAAGGTGCTTTTACTTGAATTTAATGTATAACAGTAATGATTCACAAGTTCTTCAGCCTTCTTGAGTTGGCTGAAGACCAAATTTTGCCATGTGTTAAAGTTCATAAATCTTTGTGCTCTGAAACACTTTTTTTTAATGTTTCCATTTCTTAAGTCACTAGAAACATGCTCTTGGAATAGCAGATGCATGACAAGCATTATCAAAGGTAAAAAACTGCTTACATAAATAGAAGTAATTCAATAAACTGCAGTTAATGAGTCATATGACAGAGATGTAGAAAGTCATATGACACAGAAAAACTGAAAACAGAGTGGCTGTCTTTTCTAGTACAAGACCTAAAGTGTACTGAACAAAATTATCAAGTAGAAAATGGAAAACAAAAGTCCTCAGAATAAAATAAGGTGCTTGAAGTATAGCTAAGCTGTGAAACTGTCATCAGATGTTAAGGACACTTAAGTTCAGATCAATCCGAAAAGATCTTCTAGGGTTTTTTTTTTTACTTCTCAGAACATGTCTGTTTACAGGTATTGAATACTGAGAGATCACCTCTAGTTCAGAAAGTCTCTGAACCACACTGCCAGAAGCCATGTGTGGCTGCCAAGGAAGATGCATTATTTGTTTTCCTCAATCCGACACTCTGCCTTGGGCATCTGATGTTAACTGCAGTTTCAGGCTAGATTCTGAGCTAAAAGTGTCCTTGCAATGACTCTATATAGCTGTTTTAATTCATTTTCTTTACTTTTTTCCCAAACTTCTGTTACATTCCATATATTTTTTTATTAAATGCACTGAATTATGTTTGAGGTAGGGTGGAAGTTCTCTAGCTATTTTTTTGAATCTTAGTGTCAGGTAGTTTTAAGCATGCAGTGAAGAATGACTTCTCATAAGACAGCTCAAACCAGAGCTTGTTATTTTTTACTTGAAATGCTTCTAGCATGGTAATTCCAAAGGATGTGTCTCTCAGCTGGAGCAAAGAGTTATGAGAGAAGAGGAAATAAAAGAATTTGCTGAGGGCTCTTTGGAGCATGGCTATATCCATCTTCTCTGCTCTATCCTTTCAGGGACAAAAGCATTAATATAATTTATTAACAACTTCAGTAATTCTCTCACATAGTAATGAATTAGCTTTTTCTTGATCAGGTAAGCACTCCCTTGGCAGACATAAATTCCCAGAAAATGGAGCGTAGAAGACATGAAAAAGTGTTCTAACAAGCACCTGGGTTTGGAACAATCAGTATGTATTAAAACTATAAATAAAAAGAAAATCTCAGAAAATAAACAGAATTTGTTTTCCTATCATAGTTCCCATATTCATTTCAAATGATAGCAATAACTTTTCTGCCAACTCCACAGACTCTACCTGGGAGTTTGAACCAGGTTTGTATAAATGCTGTTTTAGCAGCAGCTCTGGCCAGGGCCCCTTTTTTGTCATCTCTGCTCCAGTTCCTTTCATGTGTTAGAACAGCTGAATGAGCCATTCACTCAGTAGCTGAACAAAGGACTGATTTGGCTGTTTTGAGATGTTTTATTTTTCATTATTACCACTGATAACAATCTCAGAAGTGACATAGCAGTTACAAAGTCTATGTATGTTCAGTTGATAGCCTTAATGACAGTATTACTGCACCACCCTGAGCCTGCCCAGCTTGTCCTATTACAATGTATATAAATAATTTAGCTGATAAACTCTGTAAGCAATTAGAACATCACTCTCATTGTCTATTTTCTTTGCATTTTTGGTTTTATAAATATATGCTTTGGTAAAAGGTATCTGAGCAAGAAGGAAAAGCTCCACAAGTTATTTCTCAAGGTCAAATAGAAAAGGATTTTGCAGGTGAAAATCTTCCTCGTCTCAATCAAATAACCACCATTCCATAAGTAATCCATTGAAACAAAGCTTGTAGAGATACTAATAGTTAGAAGCAATAAATATAAGCAGATGGGCTTCGGTCCTGCAGATATATATTTCATCAGCTATTTTCAGGGATCAGAACAATGCAGAATAGGGATGAATTGATATACTTGAGGTTTTGCAATTTTACGATAAATACAAAGACCCAACTGAACTTTCAGGCAAACTCTGTGATTAAACTGTCTATTACAGAGTCTTAATAAATTTAATAAATAAAAATTAAATAATAAAAAAAAAAGATTAGCTGAATGCTACCGGGGCAAATAAAATAAGCCATTCCTCTCAATTGATGTGGGCCCCTGCTGTCATGGGACTAAGATTTGTACCCACAGTGCAAAAAGAGAGCCTAGAGGCATTTTTAAGATCAGTTCAGTATCTTTGCTAAGGGTGTGGTATATAAAAGCTGATTTTAAGTTCCTTTTCATTATACAGTACTCATGTGATCACAAACTTAATGTTTAGGGAATAAATATACTTTTTAGAGAGTATCTCCATAATGACTTCATTCTCTTGTGGCTATAACAGAGGGATAAAAATGTTAGTCTTGCCAGAAAAGGCATATGGCAAAATTCTTTGTCCCCTGACTCCTGCAGCTCACATTACATACAAAGTTTTTAAGGCAGAGGAATGGTTGGAATATCAGGGCTGAGTGCACTATTTGGCAGGATGGTTAGTAGTACTAAATTGTAATCTAATTGAATTATAGTCTGTTGTGAGGTTTATGGTAATATTACTGCACTCAGAATGGCAAGCCATGTGCTTCCAAGTTTACTGGAGATCAGTAAAATCTGGCACTGCATAAACAGCTGTTAATATTTAGTCCTCTCCGATATTTCAAGCAAGAGAGCATAGAATTTTCTGTTACAACTTGTACTGAACAAATCAGTTCCAGCAGGGCTAATTAATTTATTTTGAAAACCACTGGACTTACCTGGACAAAATTAATTGTGAAGTGCAGCTTATCTTGGATGGAAATAATATTTTTTTGACTGAGTGTCATTGCACAAATAAATGGACAGCATTTAGAAAAATAGTTGTGACCTTGGCACAGATTTCCCAAACAAGATGGTTATTTGCTGCTGAGAATTTCCCTTTGCAAGCATCCTTCCTTGCAATGTTTTCAGCTGACACTCTCCAGCTTCTCTGCTCAGTTTTCATAGCATATGCATCATCCATTGCTATAGATGATTTTAAACTACACTTAAAACATCATATTAACTATGTACAATGAGTGAGTCCTGTGTGATCATTTGTGCTTCTACAGAAACTGTTTCCATGGGCCATTTACTAGCATCCTATCTGCATACAGTTTGGTGGTCCTGCAGCAGTAACCACCAGCAGCCTGAGAAAGGAACAGGTTTTCACCCAGGATTTTAACTGAACAAATTCAGGCATACAATTTTTTCTTGGCCCTGCAGCTGCTGTGTGGGGAGAATCTTTAGAACTGTCTGAAATTCCCACCTGAAGCTCTCCTGCAAGCATGGGTCTGTCACCTTGTCTCACTCAATCCACTGTCTGTCCCGAGCTGTGCCTCATCCATGCAGGGATGGGCTGAGGAGTTCCCAGACCACTGGGAGGTAAATGACTTCAGGGCAATGAGTGTGCACACCCAGACATCCCTAACATCCAGCTACACCTCACTGTGACTTAAAGACAACTTGACTGGTGTCCATATGTCTCACATACAGCTTAACATTCCTCAACTGCAGCACCTCTGTAATTGAGAGCTGCGCTGAACGGCATTCATCCAACTGTGAAATAATATAAGCAACTTGTGATTGCCTGTTGGGTGCATTCTGCATTGTGGTTTAACTAGGCCTAGGCTTTCCCTGGGAATGTGGCTGTAATGCCACACAGATCACGATGACTTGGTTTCTGCTATTTAAAATTGCCATTGCTCTCTAAAGAAACCTATTTCCAGGATACTGTGTT